AGGCAGCAGGGAGGCAGGACCCCGCAGGCTACACTGCGTCTCCAAATGGCCCTCGGAGACGCCTTCCCGGGTAGGCTGTATGCAGAACATGCGTGACATCCGAAGGCTGCTAACTGGAAGCAGGGGGTTTTGGCCGGCTAACAAATCAAATTTTACGAGCACAAACAAAAGGCAAAATGAACATCGTTAGCTGAGATAAATTTGGAATTGTTAAAGCTTCAAAAAAAAAAAGCCAGATGACTTTATAATTCACATAATTCACATTGCTTTTATGCCTTTTCCCAGGGGCAAAAGCAGTGAGTGCTTCCTACAGGAAAGGCAGAAATAAAGACTAGCAGAGGGGCACTGGGGGGGGGGCTCACTCACTTGAGCGACCACTGATTTTGGCTCAGGTCATGATCTCAGGGTCCTGAGAGCCCCGGGGGCTTCGGGCTCTGTGCTGGGCGTGGAGCCTGCTTGAGATTCTCCCTCTCCCTCCACCCCTCCCCTGCACTCCCTCTCTCAAACAAGTCTTTAAAAAGGAAAAAAAAAGACTAGCGAGGACCCGCACGCCCCGAACCAGGCAGGGACAGCCCTGTTCATAGCTCTCAGGACGTCATGCCAGCCACTCGGACGCATACATATATTTTTTAAATTTCATAAATAACGTCGCACAAGAGGTACTGTTTTGTCCCCTCCCACCATTATTTAATGAATCCAGTATTATCAGATATGTAGGGAAACTAGTCAGGTTTGCCATTAGAAGCTGCGAGAGAAGCTGAAAGTGAATTAATAAATAAAACCTAAAACCTGTAAACTTAACAGCACTGTTTGCAAAATACAGCGACATCAAGGTCCTACAAGCCGAGCAGAAGCACCAAAATTGGAAACATTCACCACACGAGCTCCAGGGGATACTTATTCTCAACCCAAGTATGTTTGGTTGCTAAAATGCTTCTTTCTACAACCCTGTTTTCCAAAGCATCCCATGGGTCCACTTAGGGAAGTATGCAGTGGGGAGAGCACATACCTCCCGGGGCTGCAACCACACATTCTAAGGTCAAAGTGCCCAAACAGGTTGGACCTGATTCAGAAGGAAATATGACGTTAGCTTTGAACTGTTCACGCATCTACTTAACCAGCCTTTTATTACAGATAAATGAGACCATGTTTTGCATTTCACATTTCCTCCTGATCGTTCAGTTCTTTATGCCTGAAAAAAACTTCTCCAAGTAGAATCATCTCTGCTTGTGGTTCTCTCTCCTCATTCACATGGAATTCCCAGCAGAAAGGCCCCACTTCCTCATTCTCAGAATACGCCTGTGTCCCTGCCTAGGCCCACAAGCCCCCACGAGGGTCAGCCAGTCCCCCGGTGAGCCCAGAGCACAGAGGGCACAGCTGACCCGCCCCCACCATCCTCTGACCTGCTGCTGCTTCCTACCTTCCGGCCTCGCGTAGCTTCCGGAAGCAGAAAGACCGAGGGTCTGGAGCATCAGCCGTCCACGGTAGGCCCGCCAACACCAGCAAACGGGCCTCCCCGACACACTGGACGGCCCACCGCTCAGTTCACTGACCTCCCCACTCACCTCTGGCTGAGAAGCAGCCTCATCTCCACCTGAGGACCCAGTGCCGGCTTCCCAGCCCCTGCGGACCCTCTCAGACTCCCCAGCTGCACACCCGAATCCGTGGCTGTCCCCCGATGCAAAGCTGGTGGCTGCGTGGTGTCCATGAGGAAGGCAGGCGGCAGTGACTTCAAGGAGGTGCCAGGCCCCAGGATCAGCAGCAGCAGATTGGCCAGAGTAAAGACAGGGTAACTATCAGGGCCCGAGTGACAGCAAATCCACCCAGAGGGACTGGGCTGAGAGGTGACCTAAGGTTTGGGATTTGGGAATATCTGGAGCCAGAGGGCACTGAGGCCCTAACAGTGTGTGCTGCTTGAAGCAAGACTGTTGGGCCCAGGGAGTAGCCAGGCTCGGGGAGTAGCTAGACTCAGGGAGCAGCCAGGGCCCAGAGAGTAGCCAGGGCCCAGGGAGTAGCCAGAGCCCGGGGAGTAGCCAGGCTCTGGGAGCAGCCAGGGCCCAGGGAGTAGCCAGGCTCTGGGAGCAGCCAGGCCCTGGGGAGTAGCCAGGCCTGGAGAGTAGCCAGGGCCCAGGGACTAGCCAGGGCCCAGGGACTAGCCAGGCTGAGGGAGTAGCCAGGCCCCGGGGAGTAGCCAGGTCCAGGGAGCAGCCAGGCCCAGGGAGCAGCCAGGGCCCAGGGAGTAGCCAGGCCCGGGGAGCAGCCAGGGCCCAGGGAGCAGCCAGGGCCCAGGGAGCAGCCAGGCCCGGGGAGCAGCCAGGGCCCGGGGAGTAGCCAGGCTCGGGGAGCAGCCAGGGCCCGGGGAGTAGCCAGGCTCGGGGAGCAGCCAGGCCTGGGGAGCAGCACTTGTTTGCTCTGCCAAGTAGTTTACTGCAGGGATACTGGACAGCTCTCAGCATCTCCAGGAGGCTGGAGAACCAGACACATTAACAGAAATCAGAAACGGCCCCGAAGAACACTCAATGCAGCGCAGAACCTGTGGGGTTCCAGTGAACACCTGCAAAGCCGCCATGTGTGCTGAAGGGGCGCAGACTGAGGCTGCTTCTGGAGGGAATTCCAGAGAAAGGGAGATTCTCACAAAGTGAAGGAAGAGTGGATGGGTCCGGCTGTGGCCCAGGCGTGGAGGGGCCGAGCCAACGCCCTTCACAAAGCTGAAGATGCTCCTTCATGAATGGGAGATGGGGGCTGGAAAAGGCAGGGACAGCAGGCCTGGGAGGGAAGGGAGGGAAGGGAACCCAGAGGACAGGGGTACAGGGGGAGGGGGGCGACCCCCACCCACACCTGCCTCCTCCCTCTGTCTGCACCAGCCCCAGGAGGAGGCCCTTCACCCGCATTCCTGGCTCTTCCTGATGGGGGACACCCAAACTGGTATCTGGTTTCATTCCATCCTTATCAACAGTTAGCTGTCAGCAGCAGATTAAATGGCCAGAAAGTGATCTTCCCACACAGTAAACGGGAACTTTCCATTCTGCCCGGGACAACTGGAACCCAAGAAGCCACAGCACCAAACAAGAAGTAAACCCACGGAGATCTTCCAAAAGTCAGACATGACGACACCTCAGGAATCCCACAGATCTGACCTGTGTGGGGTGAATGGTTTTTTATTTAAGTATGTTCAATAATATGAATTCTTGCACCCAAAAGAACCATGAAATTCTTAAAAGACTTCGTTTCACAAAAATTGACATAGTTTTGAAGCAGAATACCAACACAGATGGGCCTCTAACTACTACACATTCGCTGAAATTCAACTTACTTTGCTTTTGACTCATTAACCACATGCGTCTCATTCCAACGCCCAAACAAACACCAATCCTAGGTCTCTTCCAGCATGGAGTTCCAAGGGCAGCTGCAGGAAAACAACCCACTTCTGAGACAGTGAAGACGCCGCCCTGGTGGGTGTGCACTGCAGGAAGGACATAAGGAAAGGCAGAAGTGCCGACGGATTTCTCTCCAGCCAGAGGGCAATGCGTCAGAAACAGGTGTTCAGCCTCAGCTGGACATTGGGCAGGTCTACGAAAGGGGGCTCCGGGGAAAAGATGTGGGGTGTGTGACTGGCAGTGAATAGCAGAGCATTTCCCATGACAAGGAAAAGGCCACTGCTCTGGGCCTGTCCCTGCGTATTGCTCGCTCCCCACCGCACTTGAGATTGGCCGAACTGTGGAGCCTACCTGAGTCTCCTAATTAAGGTTTCCGCGGTGGTGATGCAAGAGGGTAAAGAACCTGCCCTGGAGACAGGCCGGCCCCTCAACCCCCGTGTGAGACCGGGGGCTACACATCCTGCCTCCCTCTCACACCACCTAGACCCAGGAGGGCTGCAGGGAGCCAGCCCTCACGCCGATCCCCAGGTAAGCCCAAGCATGACGGAGCAGCTCACCCATCTCTGCGGGGAACAGGGGGGAGACTTAATTAGGCTGCTCTTTCCCTGTGGGGACACTGTGTTCTCCTGGGGAGCGACTGGCCAGGTTTTCTGGGAAGCAGAAACCAGCTGCAGGATTTTGGGAAGAGCATAGCTCTAAGTGTGGGAAAGACAAATGGAGAAAGCACTTGGAAGCAAACACAAGAGACACGTGACTGCTCTCGTTTGGGTTCTTGACTCCCCAGCACCCATAGCACCAGCGTTTCCAGACTCCGGCATGCAAGCTGCCCCGTGCCGGGCTGGGGCGGGGAGCCTCGGGCGGGACGGAGCCCCTCCACATTCTTCTGCCGCTCCCGCAGGTGGGAGGCTCCCTCGGACACAGAGAACGCGGCCGGGCGGGACGGACGCAGGCACCTCCCTGTCTGCTCCCATCAACCCAGAAGTTAAATCCGACTTCACACCTTGGGCGCCCTCCTGCTTCTGGAGACACGGTTCTCTATAAACTCAAGTCTGGAACTCGGGAAGGCCAGGACTTCAAAACTGAAAGCAAAACCTGAACCCCAGGAGAGGCCGTGATGTTCGCCGAGTTTGGGGGGCTCTTCCTCGTCTTTGCTTCTGTCTCATGGGCAGGGCTGAAATTCGGCCCAACTCACCATCCTGCCCTCTGAGTTTTCATTTTGAACAAGTAACTTAGGACACTCTCCCTACTTCAAGTCACTTTTTAAAGCACACAGTTTTACAGTGAATACTAAGCTATAACAAACTGGAAAAGGGAGCATCTCTGGTTTAGGAAGAATACGGAGAAGGCGAGGCTGCTGTGAGCCTGCCATCCCCCCTGGCGCCTGGGGCAAGCCGTACCTGTGGCAGGCTAGAGGGCTGGGGTCGCCACCCGCCGCGGCCAGGGGGAAGGACAGGGGCGCCAGGAGGGAAGCACCGTTATCCCACACTGTCCGTGTCTGTGCTCACCGGCCCAAGTGCTGGCACAGGGACTGGTCACCTGTCAGGGCCCTTCTTCCCCCAAATACAAAATATGCCAAGCCCCTCCCCGATGTCACCTACACAATGACCTCTGACCCCAGCACACCTGCCTTCAGGCCCCGGCACGGCCTCCTGGCTGCCCTCGGCCCGACCACTGCCCCTGCATCCACCATGGCCGATCCGATTCACTACCAGGTTCGTGGAACGACAGGAGCGGTAGCGGCAGGGACCACGGGACTGCAGGGAGGAGCAGCAGCTCGCGTGACCTGTCCCGTCACAGTTGGCAAAACAGGGTTTGTTATCGCAGTATTTGCCGGATGACGGAACTGGTCTTCTTCCCCAACCGTCCGGCCACCACCCGTGAGCAACCGGGCTTCACCTGCCTGCTACTGAACGTCTAACGTGTGGCGCTCCCACCCATGGAGAACGAACTCCAAGTGCCACAGGCCCAGGGAGGCCACACACGCCACCAGACGCGGGGCCTCGCCCCCACAGCCGGCGTCCTGCCCCCCAGTGCCATGGCCAGAGCCACGCCACGGCGGCGCTCGCTCATTTCCATCGTCCGCGAGCCCAGGGGGCTGCTGGGCGCTGGCAGGGGCCCCCCGAACCACAGACCGGCCCGAATCTGGAAGCAAACACAGGTCAGAGCCACACGGGCAACGCAAGGAGACCGTCGCCAGGAGGCGCACCTGCTTGGAGCCCATTGACTTCTAGAGTTTACGTGGTCAGAGGCCCCTCCTGGCCTCTAAGATAGAATTCGATTTGAGAAGCTGCCTTTCCAGAGGGGCCCAGGAGACCGGAGACCTAATTTCCATGTCACATCCTCCATCCCGACAAAGAAACAGTCCCCAACACCTGGTCAAACGGTCACTGATGGCAGATTTCACCCCTGGCCCACCTCCCGGCCCTCACCTCAACCCAGATTCCCAGGGACGGGAGGGCAGAGGGCCAGGGAGCAGTCTGGCGGCCCAGGGCCCTCCCCTGCCCCCTCGCGCATCTGAACCCTGACAGACAGCGGGCACCCTGGGCTCCCTCTTAGGGTCGGCTCTAGAGCCCAGCCCTCGGCCAGGCCCACAGGAAGAATAAAGCAAAGTGGAGTCAGATATTCATGATCCTGAGTTCTGCGCAGGTGGGAGAGAAGGCATTCCTGAGCTGCAGGGACTGTGGCAGGGTGGGGACAGGTCAGCTCCCCCTCAGGGCACAGGCCACACCCCAATGAGGAACGCAAGACGCCCTCCGTCAGACTAAGGACCGCTCTGAAGACCCAAGGGTAATAAACTGATAAAAACCAACGTCAACCCGTTTTTTAAGGAAGTGTGAAGGTGCAAAGGCCATTAATTCTCTCTTTATGTTTACTTCCTACTTTTCTATCAACTCTGACCATCACCTGCCAAATAGGGCGTCCGGCCAACTCACCACACAGCATGGTTTTTAATGAGACAAATTACAGTATAATTACTCAGTTTTACAGCTAAGTTTCTCGTTAACAAATCAGGTACTAAGAAGAGGGACCTAACCAAGCTACTCTCTAAAAAGAAACAGAACAATTTATGAAATCAAAAAATTACTTCAATTTAAGATCAAAAAAATCTCCTATCACCTTTGGTAGAAAGAACAGGACGTCACTTCTCGCAGAATCAACCATTTTAGAGAAGACATTCGCAAATGTACTTTTGGATTTAACTAATCTACTTCTTAATTTGTTAGATAGTGAAAGAACATAATGTTATACATTAGCTGAAAATGGACAACGTGTTCAAACCAGTCAGTCAGCAGAATGGAGCTTCTGGAAGAAAATGTCCATAAAATGCTTTAACCCCTACTTCTCACAAGTGCACACAGGAAACCACATGTGACTCGACACCACTAAGCAAGTCTGTGCTGATGAGCTGCGTGTGGAGACCTGACTTCCAGGAAATTCTGTCTCCCGAAGGGTCCCTTCCCTACGTCCCCAGGCACAGAGTGAGCAACCCAGCCCTCAAAGGAATGCACTCGTCCGGAGTACCCAACGGCTCGTAAAAGTCACCACCTGGATTATTTAGAAGAAAAACCAACCTCCTACTTGGGTGCATTTTCCATTAAAATTTAAATAGTGCTTAAGTTTCAGTAAGGTTCTTCGTGATCCTGCTGAGGTCTTTTTCACTGATTTAAAAAATGCGTTTCCAAAATAGCAAGGGAGACAATATCACACATACAGCAAACTAATTAAAATTGCCCATAACTCGGCAATTGCCCTAAACTCTGTTTAGGATGACGCAAAGGCTCTGGAGATGGATGGCGGCTGCACAGCGTGACTGTGCTGAACGCCACCGAATTATGCACCTAAAAGGGGTGAAAGTGGTAAATTTCATGTTATGTATGTTTTACCACAATGAAAAACACTGCCCATAAACCAACCTACTGTCTATCTGTTCAATAAATCGATACTCCTAACTTACCTATTATGTAACATGTTCCTCATTTCACCACATGATTTTCAGAAAAACTTAAAACTTCATCAAAAGCAACACACACAATGTATTCCGTGTTTCAGGCAATGAACTCAGGAGCGGCGCGTGCTCCTGTCGAGGAGATGAGCTGGCCGTGCTCGGGCTGGCCGCCATCCACCTCGGCCGCCCAGCCTCGGCCTCACCCGCCCGCGGAGGCTGCCCGACCTTCTCCACAGCGTCCCGTCCCGATCCTCCTGCCGGGGGTTCACGTTCCTCGGCAGCCCCTCCTGCACCCCGCACGCCACGTGCTTATTTACTGTCAGTCACCTGCCACGAACACGCAGCCTCCAGGACTGCTCCCCACTGAAGCCCGCATGCATACAGCAGGTGCCCAATAAATATCTGATGAACATCCCATGGTGAGCACCTAGTATGTGCTAAGTACGCCACAAACTTCTCTTTATAAGAATCATAATGGGTTGCCCCCCACAAATCCTCCAGTGCCGTGCTTACTCCCATGTGATGTCAGAGAAAAGGCGAATGAGCTAAGGGACACGAGGAAGGAGGACGAGAGAGGCCGGCCACATGACCACCGCTCGGCCTTCCTCACACACACGCCGCTCTCGGGTTCACGCCAACGCTGAACCTTACTGCGCAAAGAGGCGTGTGCGCACACGGTTTTCTCATCTTTTCATGGCTCGTCTACGTTTATCCAAATCAAAACGACTTCCACACATTTCTAAAGTGAAAAGGTCACTGAAATTACCCCATATGTGAACAGTTATCTGTCACTTTCAGGCGTTTTGTAAGAGTAGCTCTGACCCTACTGATGATCCTCCCATAGTTTTATTCCATGTAATAATTTTAAATTAATTCCATGCTTTTAAAACTTGGGTTTCAGTGGGCAAATTTCTGAGATCTTCTTGAAAAATCACACAAAAATCTAGATGACATCCATGGGGTGCCTGGGTGGCTCGTCGTTAAGCAGCTGCCTTCAGCTCAGGTCATGATCCCAGGGTCCTGGGATCGAGCCCCATGTCGGGCTCCCTGCTCGGCGGGAAGCCTGCTTCTCCCTCTCCCACTCCCCCTGCTTGTGTTCGCTCTCTCGCTGTGTCTCTCTCTGTCAAATTAATAAATAAAATCTTTAAAAAAAAAAAATCTAGATGACATCCTAATGGCAGAACCTCACTGTCCCTAATCCTCGGCTGAAAATAGGCTGGACGAAATCCTCTTTTCTCTGAAGGAGGGAGATTATGTTACCCTGCATGAGGTGCCAGCAGGCCCGTCCAGGAGGAAGGAGGGCGGTCAGGCCGCCGGATCTCGGAGCGGGTACGCGGGAGGGATCAGCCCCCACGCCAACCTCAGACTGTCGTTTCCCAGAACGTGAACTCGAGAGCCTCAGATCCCCTGTGCACAGAGAGGCTGGAGGAGTCCTCCGGGCGCCCGGCTTCAAACGGTGTCGCAGACTTGCAGTTTCTCTTAACGCTGGGGCCGCTCGGCCTGTGCCGTCAGCAAAGCCACCCTCACTCCTGATAGAAGAGGAAGAGTGCTTTAGGGTCATTTCTGCTCTGGGAACCACGTAAGCAAATGCTGGGCGAAGGACAACCGGGCTGGGACTGTAAGGTACCTGCCACAGAAGGAGATGGCAGTGGGGTCGGGGACTCGGCCGCCTGGAGCACCGGCGAGGCCGCAGGTGTGTGCGCCCCCGAGTGCGGACCGGGCACGTGCGGGTTGTGTTCGTGCAGGCGTGAGCACACGCCCCTACTATGCGAGCTAGAAAGTCAGGTTCCGTGTCCAACGCTCACTTTCCAAACCGCCAAAGGTACGGTGTCGTGCTGTCCAGAGGCCGAGAGAAGGCGCCGAAACGCCATTCCATTTACCAGAGGCACCGGATCATGACGCACCAGCCCGAGCAGACACGTCCAATCCAGTTATGTGCCGAAACCCTGACATCTGTCCGTCCACGAGCCAGACGCTGTGTATTTGGATTATGATACAAACCCAAACAGTACTCGCAGCCTTGTCTTAATACCAGCGGCCACGCTCCCACCAGCCTCCTGCAGCAGCAGCAGAAAGAAACACATACAAATACCACAGCCTCGGGTCTAATCAAGTGATGGAGACCGGGGTCTATTATACCTACTAACAGCCCAGCTGCCGAAATCTGTTCCACAATTTAAAAGAAATAACCCATTCCCACTAAATATTTATTTTTATCTTTCCAGATTTTGTGGAACATTCATTTCTGTATTTTTTTTAAGAGAGGGTTTTTATTTTTTTATTTTTTATTTATTTATTTGAGAGTGAGAGAGAGAGAGGACGAGAGGGGGGAGGGTCAGAGGGAGAAGCAGACTCCCCGCGGAGCAGGGAGCCCGATGCGGGACTCGATTCCGGGACTCCACGATCATGACCTGAGCCGAAGGCAGCTGCTCAACCGACTGAGCCACCCAGGCACCCACATTTCTGTATTTCTGATAGAACAGTAAGCAAACTTCATGTGCCTTTTCAAGGTCCTCTCTCTGATATTCCCATCTGTTTGAATATTTACAACCTGAACAGGGGCCGGCTTTTACAGTGTACCGTCATGGACTGAACAGTGTCTCTCCCAAACTCATAAACTCAAGCTGTAACCACCAGCATGATGGTTATTTGGACACAGGGATCACCTGCCTTCTCTCCGCGCCCCCCAACCCCGTCCCCCAGCACACGAGCGACGGCCACGTGAGGCCATGTGAAGCCATGGCGGGAAGGCGGCCGTTCACAGGCCAGGAAGAGGCTCTCACCAGAAGCCCAATGTGCCGGCTCCTTGATCTCGGATTGTCCATTGTGTAAGCCGCCCGGCCTGGGGTGTTTGTTACTGCGGCCTGAGCTGAGACATACTTATGCAGTACCCGTCTCCCGTGGTGTCTTAAACGCTAGCACATACATCAACACCCAAGTTCACGGACTCTGTAACGGGCACCTGAGAGAAGAATAAACAATACGTCAACTCTTCGTGAAAACGATTCCTCCTGTGCCACCGTCTGAGCATCTACTGCCTTGATAATCAAGCCGTATGTTAGGATCACCCTTCCAGAAACTTGCTGGCTGCTAACCTCACTAGGAAGACGCAGGAAAAAAGGCGCAGAAG